CAGGTTGTAAGATCATGCTTGTTTTAAACAGTTACCTATTGTTTACATGTAACTTAACATAATAAAAAAAAAATTGATGAAGCATAATGGTGGAACAAAATTATATATTGTCAGTTAAAAAAATAATAATTGAACTTCTAAGAAATTTATGTACCTAATCAGCTCGTTGGTATGCAACAGTTGAGACGTTTGTGCAGTGGAAGCATGTGTGGACCTTATGAAATAGTCGGATCAAGACTCTTTAGAAACTCTCTTTTCCTGACATGAGTATATGTAACTAATTTAAGTATTTCATATATAAGAATATGCACTCTTTTGCTAATTTTAGATATATTTCAAAGAACTGTATGAACACCTATAACACACATGAATGTGTCAAGACAAATATGTTATCCAAATGACGTAGATGAGGTCTATATTGTGGCAAGATACTATTCTACCACTAGACCATTGGTGTATTTTGTTTTAAAACTATCTTTTATTTTATTTATACTCTTTAATTGTATTTTCGCACGAAAATAACCAACAAGAGTAATATATAAGACTATGGCACACTGTAGAAAAATATCAGCTAGTTTGTGAAACTTGATTTTTTTTAAAATAAAGTAAAAAATACTAGAGCAATTTATAGCGTTATACTTTTGTAAGGTGAATTCATACACATATACCAAAAGATTTTTAAGCTAATTATAAAAAGAAATTTGAAACATCATTTACCTTCTGAAATGTTTATTTAATGGACAAGTGCATGACCACAAATATTAATGTCTACTCTTGTAAATAATTTCAACCCTAATCAGATGTAAAATTGTAATATGGATTTTTCAATCATGATTTCAATTGATTGCTTTTGGAGACTGTATCTGATAACTACACACTCCAAATCACATGCAACTTTTTATTGTATCCAAGAAATTAGCAAAACAACTCAATGATCTTGGATTTCTTTTTTTTTTTTTTTTTTTTTTTTTTTTTTTTTTGAAAAAACATAATTAATTATAAGATATACACAAACAGGGGCAAACAGGGGCGAAAGGGTGTTCATCCGAATGCCCCTCACCGAAAAATTACTCCGTATATATAAGGTAAAATTCAATTTATACCTCTATATTATATTATATTTTGAATCTTTTTGACACAATCCAAAAGTATAGCTCAATAGTCAAGGGCGTTTAATATCTTTGTTAGATGTTGATTCAACTCCCACTAGCCACAATTTTTTTTAATTTTTTCAATCTTTTTCTTTTCTGAATCTCCTTAGCAAAATGCTTGTCCCTGCCACCATGCACAAGTACAAGTTTCATTAAAATCTTACTTTAGCTATTTTGCCTTTGGTCTTTGAAAACGTACGGATAGTCTTAGGGAGTTTGGTTAAAAACTATAACTCCACAGTTGCATCAAATTAAAGTTCTTATTCAAGGAGCAACATTAGGTAGAAGGTAGGATCAAGTGTTGGAGCAATTCACAAGAAAAGCTTGACATGTCAAAAGTGAAACATTTGTCCCAACTTTTGTTTGTAATTCTGTTGGCTAACCAAAGAAAACTGAAAACTTTATTATGACAAGGACAGGGACAATAATTAAGGGCTAAAGATTTAGTGAATATGATAAATTCACAGCAGCAAACAACAGAGGAGTTAGGTTAAACAAAATTTTGTAGATGATCATGTTAACCTAAGCATGAAAATGACGTATGTTTTGACATTATTAATTAACAGTCAGACATGCAATAATTCAGCAAAACAGACAAGTAAAACAGCACATAACATAAAAGTAATGGCAATTTTCATGAAGTATTTGAGCGTTGACATGGTATGAAACAAAGATAAAGATGCTTCCTTGTTTCTAGTTACAATAGTTTAAAAACCTATAAACAAATAATTAGTAGAATTTCAAGTCATTATCAATCCACGTATCTAATTTGTTCCGTTGTGCCAAGTAAAATAATCATAATACATTGCCAAACTTAGCCATAACTCAGGTGACACTATTAAATATGTTTGGTTTCAAATATGTAGTTTGAAAGGCACTTACAAATAAATTAATGTTATTAACGAACATCAAATTGAGCCGATGGTCTATCGAAAACAACATCTCTATCTTTATAAAGTTGGAGTAAGGTTTGCGTACACACTATCCTCCCCAGATCTCATTTATGAGAATACACTGGATTTGTTGTTGTTGTTATCGTTGTTGTTGATGATGGACATGAAATTCTTCAAAGTTGTAGTCATGTTATCCATGAGATAAGAAAGCATTATGTTGAAGATATATCCTTATTTAGAAATCCTAATAAACGAATTTGGGAACATAATTAAGGATGTCCTAATTTACTCTAAAAAGGATAATTTGGATTATTAGAAAGGCGAAGAAAAAAATCTTCTTTTGGGAACAAAAGAAAGAAAGACAAAAAGTCATAAGAGGAAAAGAAAAGAATAACTCTTTCCTTATTTTGGTAAAGGGAGGAATAGACGTACCGTTGTAACAAATTATTAATGTTATAAAATATAACAAAATTGTTTCTAATGGAGACACTACATTAACAAATTAATCTAAGGAGGAATAAAGTGTTACTTACAAAAACGTTATAACTATTGAATATGATCAAGGGACATACTAGTCTCGATATGCCTATATCAAAAAAAAAATCATTAGGTGACACACCAGCTTGAATATATATATATATAACATATCCATAGTACTTTACTGTCTTGTGATCTACTAAATAGCATGCTATTAAGAGCAAAATAAAAATTTTAAAACTGAATAATCTCTAAATATAAAAAGGTTTCAATCTCTTTGAAACAAATCGAAAAAGAAAGAAGATGATTGAAGAGACAACATATTTTATTTTATTTTAATCTTTCTTTTCTGTGTGTGTTTTGGATAAGTACAATCCATTTAACCATAGGAAATGATATTTATTTAGCCCATGTGATCAGGTGATGAATACTTGAGCAACAGTAACAATCCCAGCATATGCCTATGCTAGCCAGCATTTAAATGGCAATGCCCCTACAACTGGTCGCTTTTGTCCTAGATCTTTAGAGTATATATGAACTTTTTATTACAAGGGTAACGTAAGCATTGCATAATTTTAAAAGAAAAAATGATATTGTATAGTCGCTCCTAAAATAATAATCGAAAAAGAGTATATTCTTTTTATATATATACACATTCTATATATTATATACAAAAATTATACACTTTTTCGACTTCTAAATATAAATAATTTCTGGCGCGAACTAAAAGTAATAATACCTCAACTTTAAAATGTGGTCCTATGTAGTAAAGACCAAATGTTGCCTACTTTTAAGGTCCAAATGATAGAGGCCTTATGGCTTTGCTAACATCTTCCTTAACGAATAAAACCATTCAAGTAGCTATACCGAGCTAGTCTAACCCTCAACAAAACAATGTAAACTGCAATTTTTTAATAACAGTGGTGTGCGGATTAGATTGTGCTCATCTTGACTATTCTGCTGGACAACTGTTACCTCCTATCAACATAACATAGGTACAAAAAAGAGAACAGTATACTATCAATTTATCTCCACTTTGAAACTAAATGAAATCTGAACTGTTCCACAACATCTATGATTACCACTAGCTTTGATTTATAGGTTTATTAAATCAATCGATATGTTATATGTCAAGGGATGAAATCGTTCTGAAAAAGAACTCAGGAACGTTGGGTAGGATAGAGCAAGATATCAAATAGTTCAAGTTATTTTCAACCCAAAAAGTGAGGAATAGTTGCTACAGGATAAAATAATCTGATGTTTGAATATCGAGCAGCAGATTAAAAAATTTCTCAAGCACAAGGACAAGTCATTTGCACGTCTGCATGAGTGCATGTAATGGCAAAAAACAAATGACTTCCTTTCTGCAGAGTTGTAGCTGAATCATTTTGCTTCCTCCCTGGATATAGCATAGTGGTTTTGCATTTGTAACGGAACACAGAAAATACTTTCCACTTTTGCAGAGAGCATCCAGAATGAGACGTTGATAAACATCAAGGCTGATCTTATAATATACGTTTCAAAGTTGAAATAATACCTTTTAGTCATCCAAAACTGGAGAAAGCAAAGGTTTGTTCAAGAAGAAGGCTTCCAGATTCCCTGATATAAGTTCATATAAATCTCGAAAAGAATTCTCTGTACAAGCAGCAACATGCCGTGTCAATACAACGTTATCCAATGAAAAGAGATCCTCGGGAACATTAGGTTCATTCTCGAAAACATCCAACCCAGCACCTGCAATCTCTCTCTGCACCAAACATTGTACCAACTCCATCTCATTGATTACGGATCCTCGTGCAATATTAATGATAACTCCTCCTTTCCCAAGTGCCAATAAAACCTCCTTATTGATCAAGTGACGAGTTTGCTCTGTCAATGCACAACAAATGACAAGGACATCGCATTTGGTCGCTAGTTCATGAACGTCAGGATAGAATGGGTAAGAAACAGGCTTTTTCTTCCTCGACTGGTATGATATAATGCATCCAAATGCTTCAAGTCTTTTTGCAACTTTTAGACCGATGCTTCCCAGCCCAACAATTCCTACTTTCCTGCCTCCCACCTGCCATCATCAATCATCATTCAAGAACTAGCAATTAGTAATGCAAAAGTTATCCACACAAGCTTTGTACTAGACCTAAAATCTTAAACAAGGTGTACTGGTACTAGCCTATTGCAACAAATGTTGTTCCAAACTTAAAGTCCAGTAAGGGGCATGGAATAAATCCAAAATACCTCGATGACTGTCCACCCACCCAAACCCAGCATAAAAAGAATTATGAACAGCCTCATCGATGTCAAGTATAGACGCCACTCTCTTGCAAAGAGTTGGATTTTGTCCAGAGGGTTACCAGTGAGTATTGCAGGTTAGCCAACTCATGACAGCATCCCACACCTAGACTTAGTTCCAAACCAGGGACAACAGATGCACGTGACTTTTCATTTCCCGCTATGTAGAACTCTATTAAGGATGAGGAAAGATATAAGGCAAAGTAATCCTGACAGCCTGAGATGACATTAGTAATCAAACGCATTACTGACTATGAAGACTTGTTATACAGCCTTGTTAATCCTCAACTCTGTAACTGCTCTACATGGAAACATAGTTTTATGCAGCAGAAACCAACCTTTGCTTAAACAAACATTATAAAAAGACAACTACAGTTCTCTTCATGCTCGTTCCAAGCTCGAAGTCCCATTTCTACAAATAAGAATCCCCTTCCGTACATGATTTCTTCTTCATATAGATAGATATAGGATCTATGGGGAAATTACTTAGAAGTACATTTTGCATAAACTATAATGATCTTTTCCTTGTCTCTGATTTCTTCGGAAGAATTCTGCTGACAATTTTCTAACAAAAAACAATAAAAATTAGAAAACTGTCTTACAATGCAAAGATGTATTTGTGCTACTCCCACTCTATAAATGGGGCACCCAAATTTTGAACCTCAAATTTGATCATTAATAACATTTTAGGAAATGTTTCTAAGAAGGATATTGACTCATATATATCTCAAAACTTTCCTTGCACCTTTTCTTTCAAAATATATCGGTTTTCAAGTCTGGGGATATCAACCATTCAGCTATCTCGTTTATGTGAAAGACTTATTCCTCCGAATAGAACATGGACATAGGGGTGGATACCCCACTATCTATAGAAAGATCTCAGGTGCAAATCCACTGATCGATGCACACATGTCTAGCATGCCCATTTGTAAAATAGTGCAGTTTTCTTTTTTGGCACTTTTAGTGTGCTATAGTCCATTGATATTTAAGCCTTCCCCACTTCAAATGCCGAGCTCCTGCTACGATACTGAATAATTCATTTTTGGACTGGCATGTAGGCAAGGAATATAGATATCATAAGGGACACCAGTTGCGTTCAATTTAAATTTAGCAGTTAGCCCCACACAGTATCCATCTCTTAATTTTGCAACGCGTGCCTGTGGATGTCCCATTGAGCTAACTAAGCCATCATATGACAGAGTACACATATTGAGGAGCTCAAACAAAACCAAAATGGGCAAACAGGTGTGTACCTATTAACCTTAGGCCCCTTTCTACGTTGTTCTTTACTTTTGCGGTTTTGCCTTTCATGTGACAAATTTTAACTGAGTTGTTGCAGGAAGTATAAGAGAGAACCCTTAAGCATTCTAGATGAGGAAAAGTTTCTGATTAGACAGTAGGAGAAGTGGAGTGATCGGAGAAGCTAAATATATTATGCTACTACTTCACTTGAATCAATTATGAGTGGGAAACTTTCGTTTCCTCTGCATCAACATTGAATGAAATTTTCACGTTTGGGATATAAAATCTTCTTTCCTGCTTAAGGGAAATAGATATTGTAGCCCGACAACTACATTTTCACTAACTTGTTCTTTTCAGTCAAAGAAACAACTTGTTATGATGGATAATTTTCCGAACCACAAATTTAAACATTTTTTCTTTACGGACATGTTAAGCAAAACAAAAAAATATGCATCAGTATGCAAGAAATTCACTTGCTTTCTAATTTTTTCCTAAGCCGAGGTAATTATTAGGCTTGGGTCTTTGAAAATGGAAAGGAATGTAAATCCTACTTGTGCCTGATATAAATGCAGGTCGCTAAGGTAGCTATGATTCTCGAAACCATATCACTAATTCATTTGTCAAATACTTAATTTCCACACTGATGATCTCTGACATAATATAATGAAACTTCTAAATGTAACTATGAGTAAATCACCATATGAAATAAGAAGAAAAGTTTAAATATCATACATAAAAAGTCAATAAGATGATAGTATCAATTTCACTGGTTATGCAGGCTCAGTAGCATTTTACGAGCTCCGTCCAGTGGTTAGTGTGTTCCCTATTATATCTTCTATATTTAGAAATAATTTAACTTTACACTTCCCATTTTTATGCTTTGAGAAATGTATTGTCACAAAATATGTGACAAATCCCATTTTTATGCTTTATTTTAGAGCACAAGTCAAACATCACATAAATTGGGATGGAGAAGGAACAAGTAACTTACAGAAGAGCAAAGTGGCATTACCTTGGAACAGAGGGGGAAATCCCCATGAAGAGGCCAAAGACCATTCTTAACAAACCGATCAGCAACAGAAATCTTTCTAAGAACATCAATCAACAATCCAACAGCAAAATCAGCTACATCCTCTGAGAAAACGGAAACAGCGTTAGCAACTGAGATTCCGCGGCGGCGACACTCGAGGAGATCAATATGGTTAACGCCAGCGCTGGAGGTAACGATAACGCGGAGCGAAGGGAGGAGGCAGAACAAGGAGGAAGAAATCTTGCCAACGAAATCTTTAGGAGAAGAAATCATGGCTTGTACGGATTGAGCATGTGTGGAAATGAATTGTTCCAATGGAAGTGAAGATTCCCATGGTTTAAGGAATTGGAATTTGTGGGATAACTGTTCGCCGTAGATATTGAAAAGGGTTGGCTGGCCTAGGACTATTACCGCCGGCAACGCAGTGCTGGGTTTTGCCATTGATGAGTTTGAGAGTAACTCGAGTATGAGTTTGGAGGAATATTCTTCTCGTTTTGACAACTGAAAGAATATTTCAGTTTGTCAAGACAAATTAAAGCAATATATGATGATTTCTTGAATTTTCTGCTTTTGTTTTTTCTGTTTGGTTTTTTCCTGATTACAGGAATATTAGGTCAAAGGTCCTTCATGCGGGAAAAACAGTAAACATGAAAAAATAAGTCCAAATGCCAACTCATGACATTATACATTAGATCACAACGCCACCCATGAGATAAGCAAGCAAACATTAGACAAAGGATCAAATAACTGGTTTATGGATATGTAGCAGCTGATAACTATTTAAGAAACAGCGTGCTTCAGTGTTTTGATTATTGCGAAGGAAATACATGTAAATTTTAATGGAGTAAAGGTGATTGCCAGATTGCCATGACTATATATTAAAGCTAAGAATTAGACACTAGTACATACATGTAACATCGACAATCAACTGAAAATTCTATTTTCACACTCCAAGGAGAAACCCCTTAATATCAGATCACAGAGAAACTACACTTTAAAAATAGAAACTCATATTGGCAGATTTTTATGTCTAACATCACCGAAATCAAACACTGAAAGTTGTATACGACTAGCATTTGCATGTGCACATGTATAATGGCATAAATAAACAGCTTCTTTCTGCAGACTGTAGCAGATGAATCAAATTGCTTCTTTCCTAGCTGTAGCACAATCATTTCGCATTTGGTATAGAGAATGCTTTTCCATTACACGATTTGCTTCCTCTAGTCTGCCAACAGGTTAAGAATTTTTTAGTCCAGCGGGACAAAAGGAAAATTCATACTCCAGTTTTGCTAAGAATATCCAGAATGAGACGTTGATAATATGAAGACAGATCAGGATACGATATAGATCTCCCAGTTGAAAAGAATTTCTCAGTCATCAAAAACTGGAGAAAGCAAAGGTTTTTTCAAGAAGAAAGCTTCCAAATTCCCTGACATGAGTTCATATAAATCTCGAAAAGAATCCTCGGTCAAAAAAGCGACATGTTGAGACAGTACAACATTATCCAAAGAAAGGAGCTCTTCAGGAACATTAGGTTCATTCTCGAAAACATCCAAGCCAGCACCTGCAATCTCTCCCTGCACCAAACACTGCACCAACTCCATCTCATTGATTATGGCTCCTCTAGCAATATTAATGATTATTCCTTCTTTACCGAGTGCCAGTAGAACCTCTTTATTGATCAGGTGATGAGTTTGGTCTGTCAATGCACAACAAATGACAAGGACATCACATTTGGTTGCTAGTTCATGAACGTCGGGATAGAAAGGGTAGACAACAGGCTTTTTCTTCCTCGACTGGTATGATATAATGCAGCCAAATGCTTCAAGCCTTTTTGCAACTTCTAGGCCTATGCTTCCCAGCCCAACAATTCCAACTTTCCTGCCTCCCACCTGCCATCATCAATTACCATCAAGAATATGCAATTAGAAATGCAGAAGTTATCCACACAAGAAAATTTAGTAGACCTGAAATCTTAAGGATAATGAACAATCAAGGAAACCAGTTGATGACAGATAAGACCATGGCACACATGGTACTAGCCTGTTGCAACAAGTACTGTTCCAAACTTAACCAACTGAAGTCCAATCTTAGCTTCAAGAAACATTATACAAAGACAACCACAGTTTCAGAACTATCATAATCTTACACCAGTATTTATATTAAAGCTAAGAATTAGACACTAGTACATAAACTATCATAATCTTACACCAGTATTTGCCAAAATGGGCACCAAATTTTGAACTTGGCGTTATTATATAATTCAATTTGTTACATGCTTTTAAATTTTATATTTAAAGTGCAGGTCTCAAATTTAAACAAAGAACGTTTAGGAAATAATATGAGAAGGACTTTGACTCATATATCTCAAAACTTTCCGTGCATATTTCGGCGTGCAATAGTCCCTCGACGTCTAATAGCTTTTTCCCACTTCAAATGCCAAGTTCTTGTTTTGATGCTAAACAATTCATTCTTCGATTGGCCAGGAAGCAAGCGATATAGTCATTGTCAGGGACACTAATGCATTCATTTAACTTTGTAAGAATTCGAACATAGCTTTGACCAAATATTATATGCAAATATAGAAAATTATATGCAAATCAATGTTTGTTTTACAATTTTGTCCATTATTTCAACTTCAACTAGAAATAGAGAATTAGAAGTTGAAAGAATTGTTTGAGAAGTATTTCAAGTCAAATAACACGTCTCACTTACAAAACTTCATCTTTTTTCTAAGTTATATTCATGTACAAAAAAATTCCAAATGATCTTTTCCAACTTCAACTTCAAATACTCTTTTTTTCAACTTCAAAATCTTGTTCAAACGATTTAACTCTTAGCCCAACACATTACCCATCTCTTATATTTAAAGCAAGAGGAAGTCGAAGTCCTACTGAGCTAACTAAGCCATGATAGAACATAGTACCCAAATCTAGGAGCTTAAACATGCCCGAATAGGGCAACCTATGAACTTTAGGCACATTCCCAGGTTATTCTTGTTTAACCAAAATGGATGATTTTCGTAACCACATATATATGTGAGAGTTCTAAAACGCAACTATGAGTTGAACAACAATTACCAAATCGTAACAAGAAAAAAAAAATTACAATCCGCACACAAAATTTTAAGATATCAATGGAGAAAGCTAAGTGACAGTACCTTGGAAGCAAGTGGGTAGTCCCCATGAAGAGGCCAAAGTCCATTCTTAACAAACCGATTAGCAGCAGATACTTTTCTTAGAACATCAATTAACAATCCAACAGCAAAATCAGCTACATCCTCCGAGAAAACGGTACCAGCGTTAGCAACGGAAATTCCGAGGCGGCGGCACTCGTCGAGATCCATATGGTTAAGGCCGGCGCTGGTGGTAACGATTACCCGAAGAGAAGGAAGTTGGCGGAGCAACGATGGAGTAACGCAGGTCGTGCCAGTGCAAAACATAGCCTGTACGGATTGAGCGTGTGTGGAAATGAATTGGTCCAATGGAAGTGAAGATTCCCATGGCTTTAGGAGTCGGAATTTTGAGGAAAATTGGTCGCCGTAGAAATTAAGAACCGATGGCCGGCCCAGTACTATCACCACCGGCAGCTCCTTCTTCGGTTCTGCCATTGATGAATTTTGAGAGTAACTCACTGAGATTGGACGATGCTCCTTTTTGTTTTGGGGCCACAGGGTCCCACCAATAAAAGAAAAGCTAGGGACAAATTGATGAGTTTGATTTACATTAAATTATTTTAGTTTAATTTCCAACCATCAAAAGACAAAAATACAAGCATTTGATCAAAATCTGAAGTAGAAAATGGAGCTGCCAGAGCTGTTAGTAATTCATCCAGCTCCAGTATTCATCATCCACCAACAACAATTCTCCCAAAAATTCAAACTCCTCAAAGCTTACGAATCTCCACTCTCTACTAAACACTTTTTACAGACCCACGCGCAGTCCACTAAGGCACTCATCTGCTATGGCAAGAGCCCAATCACTAGCGACATACTCCGCCGTCTTCCTTCTCTTAAGCTCGTTGTCACTGCTAGCACCGGCTTCAACCATATCGATCTCCCTGAGTGCCGTCGCCGAGGTATCGCCGTTGCTAATACTGCTGATGTCTTTTCTGAGGATACTGCTGATATCGGTGTAGGTTTGTTGATTGACGTACTTGGGAAAATTAGCTCCGGTGATCGGTTTGTTCGCACCGGAATTTGGCCTAAAAATATTTACTATCCTTTGGGTTCCAAGCTACAACAATATTCATTTTCACCATAAGAAAATCTTGTAGTTGTATTTTAATAGTTTGTACGTGGATACTACTTTGGATGCTATATTGAATGTCCATGTTACGAATAACTTAAAGATTAAATTTTCTATTTTATGTCTATCATCTTTACTTTTTATGCCTATAAAAGGTCATGTAATTGCAATGAAAAAATTACACCAAAGTGAAAGAAGAAAATACTTCTCCCTTCTTTCTATCTCTTCTTATTTACATTTTATTGCATCACTTTTATTTTATTACACGTTATCAGCACGAAGCTCTAATATTTTATTAAGTTTTCACTATGTCAAATTTATCAAAACTTGAATTTGTGGCACTTGACATCACCGGAAGGAACTATTTATCTTGGGTTCTTGATGCTGAAATTCACCTTGACGCTAAAGGTCTTGGAAATATTATTATACAATGAAATGAAGTATCAAATCAGGATAAAGCGAAGACCATGATTTTCCTTCGTCATCATCTACATG